TAAAGTTGTTAACTGAGTGCAATGGAATCGATAATGAAGAAAACACCAACTTTCCCCGCGAACACCCTAGGTCAATGCCACTCAATGCGTTGCGAAGAAAAGTCAATGTCGGGCGATTTGAAACCCTAAAGTCAACGTTGAGCGATCCGAAACCCTAAGGTCAACGTCGGTCAATGCGTAACCCTAGGTCAACGCCAGTCAATGCTTTGCGATGAAATTCAACGACGGGCGATCCGTAACCCTAAGGTTAGCGTCGGTCAACGTGTAACCCTAGGTCAATGCCACTCAATAGGTTGCGACGAAAAGTCAATACCGGGCGATCTGAAACCCTAAAGTCAATACCGGTCAACATGTAGCTCTGAGTCAATGTTGGTCAACATGTTGTGTCACGCCCCGCTTCCCAAAATACCCGAGAATCGGAACGTGAACAAGCCCGCGACGTATTAGATTGAGAAGAAATATATACTACTATTTTTTTTCTTTTCTTCTCAATCCAATACGCTAAGCGTCTGGAAATAAATACAATGCAAAGGCACAGGTCCCCGATCACAATCAGCAAGAATATAATAGACAACTCAGAATAAGAAATAAACATATCATCAACAGATCATCCCAGACATAAAATATGGGTCAACATACCCTTACTACAACAACAGTTCAACTAGAAAATAAGAAATACAAAGTCCATAACAAAAGGAAATACTAACAATATAACCAAATCCGACACCAACTATAGAAAATACTATAAGAGTGTTCTATCAGCTACTACAGAAAGAAAGGCATGTCTAGGCTTCAGTTTATTCTTCCACTCCATCGGAAGGACACTCCGGCTGGGTATACTCCGGCTCTGCTGCATCATCGAACTGAACCTGTTCGTCCCCTAAGTCTGACGTACACCAGAGAAAATAGGTGTACGTCAGGTGCATGGCGCACGGCAAGAAGAGGACTACACGCAATCCGATTTCGGCCTGGTCCGAACTCAAGCAGAACTCGGGTGACTACACAAATTCACTGACTAAAGTGACTACACGAATTCACTTTAGCCCAACAAACCAACCCCAGTGACTACACGAATTCACTGGCGCGATCCTGGAAGATACATCAACAGCCTTATCCGATCACATGAACATGGACTTCCCCATCCCAACTCTCTTGTATTTTCTAAGTCAAACATAATCCACATTGAAACTCGGGTTCACCACCTAAACTCAGTCAACAAACCCACACATGTCACTAGGTCTGTTCATGACGCACAAGGCCAGTAAGTCATGAACAACTAAGGGTTCTCGACACAACATGAATAATCAATGCAACTAATCATGTACAATAATATCATATCATATCAGATAATCAAGGTTAAGAATTTGGATCATAAAATTGTTCTTAAAATAATCTTCTGAAATAGTAATTTATTTACTTCAAAATAATTCTTTTTTTTCTAAAATAGATCTTTTTAATAAAATTCATAAATTCAAAAATAATATAAATTCTCATTAATTCACAATATTCTATTTTCACAAATAATTTCTTTTTAAAAATATTTATCATTCACAAATACTTTCCTTTTTAAAAATATTCATCATTCTAAAATAATTTCTTCCACAAGATAATTTCTAAAAATTATTATAATTATTCTAAAATGGTTCTTTTTCAAGACAATTCCTTTTAAATTATTATAATTTTCCTAAAAATGGTTTCATTCTTAAATAAATTCTTTTTAATTAATATAATTGTCCAAAAATGATTCTGCTACCGAAATAAATTCTTTTTAATTTATCATAATTATTCTAAAAATACTAATTATCACATAATTACGATTTATCTAATATTATTTATTAAACGACCTACGCAGATAAATATATCGCAAATAAACTAAGCAATTAATTTATAACAGGTATAAAATTCAGATCTGAGCAAGTGGGATCTTGCCTTGGGTATATCGTGGACTGTATTAGAGAGTCATCGGGGTGATTGCACAGCGTTACGACGAGTTTCGCGGAATCAACGGCTAAAATAACAATTAGTGTGTTAATACGACGTGTGATATTCGAACGAGTATAACGAGGTGTACATAAGGAGCCCAAGTGAAAGAAATATACCGTGCGATAGACAATACGAAGGGCTACGCACCGGCGAAGGAATCGATGGAAACGGATGTCGGAGTTGGCCGGAAAACACGCGCAAAGTTGGCTCCGGACTGTAGTTTTTTGCAGTGAGCTGATTCGAGCTCGCCGGCGGCGGTGGCCAAAGTAGCGGCCGCGGGGTGTTCAGGCGGCGAAGCTGAGACGACGGGGTTGGGCTGGAGTCAACGACGGCGAACGGTGGCTGGTCGGGGCTGAGCTCGAGCTCGAGGCAGCGGCGCGCGGGTCTGAGCTCAGTGGGCACGTCGGAGGAGGGGGTCGGGTGGTCGTGGAGCTCGTCGGAGGTTGGAGCGGTGACTGGAGCTGCGGCGAGCGGCGGTGGCGAGGTCGGAGCGCAAGGGCAGTGCTGCAGGGGGTGCGGTGTTCGGACTGGGGAGCTTGGAGGGCGGCCGCGTGGATGGTGGTCAGAGGGTAGACATGGCTGGCGGTGAGCTTCGAGTTGGACGAAGGTGGAGTGACGGAGCTTCGAGGAGTCGTCGGAGCTCGATGACGGCGAGCAGGGGCTGGCATCGTCGGGGTTTCAGAGGGGAGGCGGCGGTGAGAGAGATGAAGAGAGAGAAACAAAGTGAA